TGGCATGAAAAAAAAAAGCTTTAAATGATGTTTGCAAGTAGACTACAGGTGTGTCTCTTTTTAAGTATAGCATTCTAAAAACAGATCAATTAGGGCACGATTAGATTCTTAATAAGGCATACAAAAAGGATTCTTTACACCTGTCCTTAAAAACACCAACTCCTCTGGTACATTTAAAATACAATACAGATTTCTAAAATTGTATTTTCTCTACCTCAGCTTCACTGGCTCTACCCCTAGCCTGAGTCCCTTTTTCAGATTTGCTATACCCTCCTGGTGTAAGAAAAAGGGAACTTACCCTGAGTGGTCGCCAACATGACAAAATCATGACCTGGATTTGCAAGGAAAGTTTTAACATCAAATATTTCATTTGTTGTTCCACTGTCTTTAATTATCATATATCTCTTTAACAAATGGGATAAAATAGCAAAATAAAGAACTTAGTAAAAATAAGTCACTTTGTACTTAACCAAGAGTAGTTTTAATAGAGTCATATAGGCAGAAGTTATGTGGGGAACTAAAAGTGATGTAGGAGGTAAGTGGGAATGATGTAAGATAAACACATGTAGAAGAGCTTGACAGTGAAAGGAAGGACATAAATAATACCACAGACAGCAGTTATCATGTGAAGGTTATGAATTTTTGTTTTAAACATGAACCCCAAGTCAGGACCTTACAAAAGACTGGTCTCTTCTGTGACAATATACACTCTAGGAGGAAGCATTGGGAATTGAGGAACACTCCTTATATCTTATAGGAATGATGGGGAAAGTTTTTGAAGAACCATTGTAGAAAACCTAGGATATCTAATTGCTGAATATTATGTCTAGAGAAAACATGGCAGTTGCTGGAATACTGGGGAAAGTGTGGGAGTAAGGCCTCTTGGCTTTCAGGAATGGGTCAGAGAAGGCTAGTGGTACAGCATCCAAAAGAAAGCAGGATTCCTTCTCTAAAAGTAGAGTGAAGGTGTGGAGGATAGATGGAGATAGAAGTGTGTTGATGTGCGTGGTATAGGTAAATCAGGCACTCTTACAAGTATTTTGACTTCAGAAGAAATAAGATAGGAAGTTAACTACTAAAGCTGAGTGTAGGATGGAATTTATTTTGTTTATTCATTTGTGCATTCATTCAGCTAGCCTATTAAGAATCTACCATATAGTGTGATTGGCCTGAGGGGTTTACAGACACATAGTTCCGGCCCTGGCCCAGAGTAGATATAATTGTATGTTTGGAAGGAATAAAGATAAGGAACTGAAAATAGTGTAGAAACAACAGAATTGGACATTGCAAGTCGGTATCAGACCACCTAGGAAATAGATCCTAATAGGCAAGTCCCTCTGCAATAGGCAGGTGGGAAGGATCTATGGTTGAGGAGCTGGCATTGTGGGCACTCTGGAAAGACCAGGGGGAAGGTCAGTGGTGAAGGTGATTAACAAAGTATTGGTCACAGTATTGAAGCTAGAAAGGAAACCTGGTGTAACTAGAGAGAGCTGATGGTTTCACAGACTGTAAAAAGGCAAGCATATGGCATTGAGTGAAGCTATATGTCTGGTAATGGAGTAGGATTTTGGCCTCATCCATTCTGGGTATCCTTAAGAAAGTCATTTAGCCTGATGTGACTATCCTAACCAGCTATTGCCACAGAGACATATTCACCTGGAGCATGGGTAATTTTGTGTTATCAGTTGATAGATTACTCTCCAAGTTCCAGGTTATCTGCATCCAGGTTTGTCAAAGGCTGTCTGCCTTCTGTGCCATTTTGGTCTATTGTGACTTCCATAGCAACATCAGGAAAAGCAAAACAAAAACATCTTTGAATTACCTGTACTGAATTATAATAGAATACACACAAGCTTTGGGGACCTGGGTTTGAATACTGGCCCCACTGCTTAAAACAGTAAAGTGAACTTAAGCAAACCACTTTTCCATTCTGAGTCTTACTTTCCCAATCTGTGAAATATGTTCAGGAATGATTGTCTTCCAGGATTGCTGTGCCAATTCAGTGAGATAATAGAGGTAAAGCAGTCACCATAGTGCCTGGCCTACCTATTCATGGTACTCATGAAACATGATTGCCTTATTCTCTCTTTAATTGGGAATACTCACATCATTGCTGTGAGTAAGGTTTGAAGCCTAGCACAGGTCAGTAGCTGAGCTAAAGACATGGAGGTACCCTCTCTGGTTTCTCAATCTTCTATGACAGAGTTCATTGAAGGTTACCATTCTCTTCCTTCTTCCTTCTCTCCGTTTGTGGCCCTAGGAACAGGATGCCCCCAACTAACCATATAGCATATCTAATGTGTTCAAAACACTTGGCTACAAGTGACAGGATCCCAACTCAAACTAGCTTAAGCAAAACAAAGGACTTTATTGGCTCGGATAGCTAGGAACTTTGGGACTTCAGGCATATCTGGATCCACAAGTTTCAAATTATGTTCTCCAGGCTCTTTCTCCCTATCTCTAATTCTACTTTTCTCCTCATGGTAAGAATATCAAACCCCTAAGATTCTCAGATTAATGTCATCCTAATCTAGAGACTTCAGCATGGAGGGGGAGCAAGACACTTCTTTCTCCCACTGTCTACATATATTCAATCTAGCAATGGACTCTGATTGGGCCTGCTTGGGTTCTATAGCCATCCTCAGAATTGCTCTTGTGGGGTGGGTGTGGGTGAAGGAGTAGAGGAATTGAGAACTCTTATCTGGCCTAGGCTGTGGGACATGCTCACTCTGGGGAAGAGTGAGAGGAGCACTGCAAGGTGGTCAATAGCCCCAGCAGAACCACAAGGAATGGGGGAAGGGCTAGAGTGCTAAGCAGACAACTACAGCTCCCCCACTAAATACAGTCACCGGACATCATTCCCCTGTCAGTCATGGTGTGCCATATGATATAAAACAGTGTGGAATGGTGAGGCACACAGTCTCCTGGGAAGGCAAACTAGTACAGTACACCATGGGGAGGTGTGGTACACAGTCATAAGATGAGACACTGTGGGGAGCTCAGGGACACTGGTGAGGAACAGCGTTGCTGCACACATACCAGAAAGCCCAGCCTCATCTTCAGCTTCTGCTCCCCCTCACCACCCAGTCTTTCATGACTACCAACTCTCACGCTTTGCTCTTTTCCTTGTGTTGTACCTTGTACTCTCTCCACACAACCTGGCTATTTCCTCACTGAGCACCTCCCTTCTTAAGCCATCCCCTGCAGCTGAGTAGCATTTCATACACTTCCTTTGGGGAAGATTCAACCCTGATCACACTGTATTATAGCACAGGACACTTATTGAGGGCTTGATGGATAAAATAAGTGAGATCATATTAATAGAGCAAATAACTGAACTCATCCTCATTCAACAAACATTTATTAACACAGAAATGAATAAGGCTTGGCCCCCTGTTCTCAGAATGCTTGGTGCAGAGGGGCAGACAATCACAAAGCTCCAGTAGAATCACAGTAGAATATTACTGAGGTACAAAGTACTTTGAGGCACAGTGACAGGGATATAGGTGTGAGGAAGAAACAATTTTCCAACTTATACCTGCCTAGAGCATTCAGAAAAGTCTCCAGAGAAGTTATCTGTGAGTTGGGTCTTGAAGGAGGAATAGAAGCTACCAGGTAAACAGTCAAAGGAGCTCTACAGGCTGGGATCAGAGATGGAGGTATGTAAGCGGTCCAGGGAACCAGGCATGAATGATGGAATAAGGAAAAAAGAGGGAGTAAAGGAATGAGTGAGACTGTCAAGCACAAACCCAAAGTTTTACTATATAAAGGTCTTGTTTCTCCATGGAGAGGGAAGTGGAAGAGAGGGTGGGATGTCCTCAGATATGGGTCCCTGCCACTTCCTTCAATCAGGCCATGGGGCTTGAACATCAAAGCCAGAACTTAAGTTGTAATCTAATACCCCTAAGCCACTAAATTGTTAAGAACCGCTTTTCAGTAGCAAAGAATTTATATGAATAATGCAGTTCTAAATGGGAGAGAGTCCCTACTATTTTCATCTTTCTTGGATGCAGTTGATTCTTCCTAAGAAACAGCTCTTTAGGAAATCAGATGGGGTATGGAACTTGAAAAGGGAAGGTAGGCTAGAGTTCAGGCCTTGCACTGATCTCACAATTGAGTAGTAAAATGATGGTTGACTATTTTTTTCAAATTCTATTTATGTATCAAAATAAAACTCAAACAAATATTAACAAGCCTTTTTGTCTTGTTATTCCTATCTCCTTTTAGTTTTCATACCTGTATGAATTTTAATATGCTTAAATTTAAAAATAAAACTTTAAGTTTTTAAAAATATTAATATTTTTTCTACTTGTTTTTAATTTAATTTTTTAATTTTTATTTAAATGTTTTTCTTTAAAAATTTTTATTTTTATCCTTCTTGTTTAAATATTTAGTTTTTATTTAAATCTCACAAATTGGATTTCCTTAAAGTTATTTATATATCTTAAAATTCTCTATTTTTCTCTTAACTTTTCCTTTTTAATTTTTTTTAAATTAAAAAAATTAAACAAATTGTGTCTGTCTTGAATTGTGCTAAATTTTTTTTCCTTTAAAACTTTTCTGTAAACTTAAATTTGAATTTTCATTCCATTCTGTATTTTTGGAAATTTTCTTAAACTGTTCATGAATTTTGCTAACCTCTCATTTTTCAATACATATATTTTATGGTCTAATTTAAAGAGTTATTTATATTAACATTTTATTTAAACTTTTAAGAGCTCCCCTCCCCTTTTAAAACTTTCTTTCACTTTTAACTTTTTTGTGAACTTTCATTTTTTATCTTTGTCCTTCTTTTATTCATTTTACCTTTTGTAAACTAAGAATTTCTAAAATTTATTTTAAGCCTTATTTTATTAATCATTTTGGAATTTTAAATTAAAAAACTTAAATTTTGAAACATTTCTTTTAAAAATATTTAACTTAATTTTTTTCAACATTTAAAACATTTTATTTTAAAATTAAAAAAACGTTTTTTTCTTTTTAAATGTTTTAAGGCTTTTTAAAATCTCTTTTACAATATTCTTTTTTCAAAATATTTGACTAATCAGTCACAGCTAGAACACTAATTGTGAAGTTTTTTGGTAATGTAGGAATACTCCCTGATTTCCCATGGTATTTTTGTAGAAACAAATGACATATAGCACTCGCAGAACATCTCCATTCCCGCTCTTCCCACCTAAAGCATTCTGTTCATTTAATTATGCTTTATGTGACCATTTTCAACCTCTTCTCCCTCCTCCCATTTCTTAAGGCTGAATGGTCACTAGTTAGTATTTTCTTTTCCTCTTACAGACCCACAAGCCATGTAAAATAGGTTCTTCATATCAAGGTGCTACTTGTCATATAGGTGCTGTTGTCATTGTACATGCCAGGTAGGTTTTTGTGAAATTTCAAGAGGTGCTTATTGTTGTTTGGGTATTATCATCGTCCATTCCAGGGAAGTTTGTGTGTCACTTCTGGATCCTTGTATATTCATTTCTTTCACTTTTTTTCTGGTAAGTGGTCTTGCAAGACTAATCTTTCTCTAGACCCTGCTTGTGATAGAATAGTAAATACCCTTCACTGTAGAGTAAGTCCTCAATGGTAGCCTTGGTGATGATGGCATCATCACAGCTAAACCATTGGTCTTTTTGTTGTCGGATAAAGCTGGTGTAGTGTCCACTTTCCAAAGTTCCATGGTGATTAATCACTGCAAACAAGGAATACTTATTCTCATTGGATGTACAGTCTGTTGGTGGCTGGCCTTCTTTCATTCTGCTCTCCTTAGTGGAGGCCAAAAATGGAGTCATGTCCAGCTCCAAGGGAAAGGAGATAAAAGTATTAATCTTTCGCCTCTGTTTACCTACATGTTCAAATCGCTTGAGATGAAAACAGGCCACAATAGGTAATTTCTTCATTGTGAGTTGTTTGGTAGATTCCTGATAGCTTTGGCAACTACTACATTTGATTTTGGAACTGCTTCCTAGGTACTCTGGCCTTGTAAACCACTGTAGGCAGTCTGTGAGTGAGGGAATTCCTGGTATGTGGTCATCCCTACTCACTGTGCTGTCAGCTCTTTCTGGACTCTGGGAACTGAATGTGGCACAAGAGCCAGGCAAGTCCAAACTGATGTCCCAGCATGGGTCTATTGTGGTAGAGACACTATGGCAAGCTTGACATGTGACATCTGACTGCAAGCCACCTGTAAAGATTTGGTCTATGATGCAGTTACAGCAGTTGGGGTTACTGGCCTCCTGCGCAACACTATCATCTTTGCTGTGTCTATGCAGCACATCTAATATTGCAATGAGGAACTCATGGGCATCCTGCTGCCGGTACCCTGCTAAGTGTTCTGCATGAATCCATATTAGATGCAATAACTTATAGGGAATGTGAGGAGTTCGGCTCCCAGAGTACATAGCATGAAAAAGAGAAGACATTTCACAGACAAGACACAAGCTGGGGCTTGTCATTATACATTTATGCTTGTCAGAGAGAAAGAAATCTTTCAATAGAGGAATATGGGTAAGTGCCTGGACAATACAATTCATAAAGCATGTGTTCCCAAGATTGATAAGCCCTCTCAGGCCTACAGTATAGACTGACTTTTTTCTCCTCTTTTTCTTGGGTTTCACCAATTTTGGCTCCTGTTCCTTTGACTCACAGGTTGAATGCTTCTCTTCAACACCTGATGCCATACACTGCTGTTGAGAAACATCTGTTGAGGTGGAAGTTAGTAATTTCAAATTTTTCTCTTTTGTTTCTTTGGCAATTCGTTCCATGTCTTTGTCATATACATAATCCTTACACATAAAGCAATATATAACCCCATGATAGAGGTCTACAGCTAAATTGTGCTGTTTTGTTTCTGCATGTTTGTGAATATGTTTCTCAGTAAAGCAGCCAAAAAAGACACAGGAGAGACAAGAGTGGAGTCTGTTCATATGGGTACTACATACATGACAGATGCACGACTTTGCCTTATGTTTCCTAGTTTCTGGGGTCCCACTCCATATGAAACGCTGGTAAATCAACCTCAGGTTCTTCCGCCAGTTCTTAGCCACTTTAAAGCTCTCCACATGAGAGCAGCCTGTAGGTCCCTGATCAAATTCCACCTCCAGCAACCAGTCCCCTAAACCACCTCGATCCCCAGAGCCACCTAGGTCACTAAAACAGCTGTGCAGCATCTGGGGCCTAGACCCCGGCCTGGATCTACGCCGCGGTCTGCGCCAGGGCTGGGGTCGGGTCAGAGGCGGAGGGGGAGGATGGGATGGAGGCTGGGGCGGGGCCAAGAGGCCAGGAGGGCCTCGGGAGCGGGCCCGGGGCGGGGGCCGAGGGCGGGGCTTGCGGCGCGGGCAAAGGGGCGAGGAGCTGCTGTAACAGCGAGGGGGGGTTGAGGGGAGCACCTTCTTATCGTCGCCGCTGTCACTCCACGTCAAGTTCTCAGGAGCAGGCTTACGCTCTTGTAACGGCTCCAGCTTCGTCTCCTCAGCTCCCTGGCCTGAACACGCCTTTGCCGCCCCCACCGCCTCCTCCTCCATTTCCCCCGCCTTTTCAGCCGCCTCCTCGGGAGAGGCTCCTCCCCCACCTCCCGAGCTCCAGCGGACCAAAGAGCCGGAGGGCGAGTCCCGAACTTGGGCCATCAGCTCACCGCCCGGCCTGAGAAGAAGGGCGTCTGGAATGGAGCTGCGACTGTAGATGGAATGAGACAGGGATTTCTGTGAATGATCTGGCCAGCGTCATGGCCGCGGTGCGCCATTAGCGCCCCCGGGACCCCTCCCACCTTGAGCTCAGCCAGAGGCCGCTGCGTGCTCCACCCCCTCCACTCTGGAGCTCCCGGAGCTGCTGTGGAGACCAAGGCGGTTACCTGGTTTAAAGGCGATCCGATCGTGCCAGGAGGGGGGCTGGGGTGGGGGAATAGGCGGACAGAGGGAGGAAAACGTGTGTGTGTGTGTGTGTGGTACGGCCTGAGCTTTAGGGTGAAGATAGAATCTTCTTTAAAAAAGGCGCCACCCTCTGCCTTTCCTGCGCCCTGCGCAGCCTCGCTTTAGTACAGCTTCCTCTGACGTTCTTTCCTTATATTCTAAAAAAAAAACAAAAAAAAAACAAAAACAAAAAGAAACACACAAAACAAAACCCCAAAACAAACAAGCAAAAATAACTGGGGCCAACATTTTACCTTAAAAATGGCTAAAAGGGGACCACCTATGGAAAATGGGCTCAGGGAAAGAAAGTGTCCTCCTGCTCCCACCTTACCTATGCTGCTGGGGCTGGGTGTGTTCCACCCTTGCCCCTACCTCCAAGCGCACTTTTGGTCAGCCAAGCTCTTGCGCCCTCTCATGCTCTTTTCGCGCTTGTGTTCCTTCTCACACTTCGTTTCTTGTTTCCTTCATTCCCTATTTCTCAGAGAATTCGGACTCCTTCTCATGCCCTCCACGCGTTCACCGCCCCTTTCTTAAGTGTGCGACCCACAAAGTCTCTGCCCTTTCCCGCCTCCGTCCCCGCAACGGTCCCGGCCCCGCTGTTTGTTTAAAGGTCTGGGTTACCTTGGGCCACAGGCTCGTGATACAGAACGTCAGCAGCTGCTGCTGTACAGGCGCTCCTCAGCCAACGTTCTTTCCTGACCTCTCCTCAGGGCTGGTCACAAGGGGGCCGCCCCCTGGCCCCTCCCCTCTCGACGTGTGGCCCCCAGCCCCGGATTCTTCTCTCCTGCAGTCATGAATGTCACCGCTGTCCTGTTTGGTCAGACCTCTTCCTGAAACAGATTCTACTGGAGGTAACCACAGCGACAGATTCTAGAGAAAGCCCCTGAAATGGAGGTTCTGGTCTCACCTGGCTCCAGGCCAGCACTCCGCAGCGCGGGGGGGGGGGGGGGGGGGGGGGGGTAGATTCAGGGGGGGGGGGGTTGGGTGGTTGCAAGGATGGCAACTCTCTGGCACAAATCCCTCGGACCCATCAAAATCTGATCTCTGGGAGTTGAGAGAGGAATATTATTCTGAAGTGTGGTGAGAGGAAGCGTTAGTAAGGGCTTCAGACTCAGATAGGAGAGCCCAGGCACTCACTAGCTGTGTGAGCTCAGATCAAACACCTAACCTCCTTGAGCCTTAGCTGTGTCGTCTATTAAACAAAAGTAGGGATAATAATCCTAACCTGTTATGAACACTAAATCATAGTATATATAAAGGATCTTTGTGGCACCTGTTTCACATCTGTTTCTCAGTTCCCATCTTAAAATCTGCCTGTAGCACAATGCCTGATACTTACAGTAGAGAAAAAGAGAACACTTGTGTCTTTCCAAATTCTGAGTTATTGCTCAGTTCACCAGATTATCCCTCCTAAACAGTTCGTGTTTGGGAACACCCACTCAACAAGTGTACATGGATCCCATAACTGTCTTACTGTGCTAGGTTGTGCTGTGAGAAATACAGAATAAATTTATTTGTGTCCTCCAGGAGTTCATAGCCCAGGAGATTTTTCCTTCTCTTTAACAGACACAGCATCCAAGGCCACAACCCCTGTAAAAGCTGCTATCTCTAGGGCTTCTTGCCCTTCCTGTCCAATCCCAAGGATATTCCTGCTCATCAGTGAAGATGTTTAATGCTACATTTAATCTCTCTGGAACAGTCAGGCACCTCCTTTCTAAACCTCAGGATTAAGATTCAGTTCTCTCAGGCTCAGGGGTGGTATCATAGGTTCCTTCCCAAAATGAATGTCAGCGATTTTAGGACATCAAAGAGATTCAATAATCTATATGAATTTTCAGAGCGAGCACAGATTATCATGATCTTGGAGAGAAAAACCACCATAACTGTCCTGTAGCCCAGAGTGACTATAGGTTGAGACAATTAAATGAGAGTTAGTCTTCACATGAATGTTTGCAGGAATATTTGCCTGGGAGACAAGACAGCAATGCTCTTATACTTTCCCACCATTATTAGTTGTGTTTGTAAATTTAAGCAAGCTGCATATCATTTTTACAGTTCAGTTTCCCTAAGTAAGAAAAGGTTTGGTTTGACCTGTTAGCAGTTCTTACCATGAACTTAGCAGAAATCCTAATGAGGTTTCCAGTTCATAGATACTTGACCCCCAAGTCAGCTAATGACCATGTGGCTGACTGGAAAGGCCACTGCTACCCTCATGGCTTTAACTGCCATAACTTCACACCAGAGAGGGAAGGCTTACTGTTTTCAGGGTAGAATTTTCAGTTTCTCTGGATGTGACTAAGCTTTCATTAGAGGAGCCTCAGGAGTTGGGATGACCTATTTAAACCAATATGCCTTTTGGCAGATTAGTTTGTCTTCCTCTAGAGTTTCCAAAGGACTTTTAATTAAGTAATAATAATAGCAAGGATAGCAGAGTTTTCCAACACCATGGAACTTGGCTTTGTGTAATATTAGAGATTTTAACTTGGGATTTAGACAGATTGTACCAGAGTATGGAAGAGCACATATACAAGGAGGCAGTAGTTGAAAGAAGCAGAAATGGAGTCACCACTGAATACCCAGGAGGATTTTGAGGGAAGGCAGGGTCAAAGAGAGGAAATGGCATGCCCTCTTGCTGGTAAGTGGTTGAGTGGCACAGGGGAAGGTGAAGGCCTCTCATGGCTTGAGAGGAAGTCCCTCCTATCTCCCTCACTTCCCTCCATCTGAATTACCTTTTGTTTTGTGTGTCCTCCTTTGGCCAAAATCTGGAGTGGGATAAGGAGAGAGCTTAGTGGCCCTGTAAGTCCCAGCAGTGCCACCCTTACCTGAAAAACAGCCAGTCATTGCCTCCACAAACTAGCCTGTTCTACCCAGACCAAACCTTGTGATTCTAATCCACTTCCTGACAATATAGCCCTGAGGGATACAACAGGGAGAGGGGGCAGTTCATCAGGATTCCCTGAAAGTAACCCCAGAGGTTCTGCCCCAATTCCATCCCCAGAGTTGACTTTTGCCTGGACCCATCTCCAAGGATCTGGTCACCCTACTGATTTCCCCCTGTTTTATACCTAGCTCAAGTGTTCTCTCCTCCAGGAGGCCTTCTCTGATCCCCCAGATCTGGAGGGTGTCCCTCAGAATACAGCAGCCCTATACAGACAGGGCCCTGCTGGACCCAGCCTCTTATGTATGTATGTATGTATGTATGTATGTATGTATGTATTGAGAGAGAGCATGAGAGAGCATGGAGAGAAGGGGGGAGGGGCAGAGGGAGAGAGAATCTTAAGTGGGCTCCACACTGGGCTTGGAGCCCAAAGTGGGGCTCAGAGCCCAATGCTAGGCTGGATCTCATGACCCTGAGGTCATGACCTGAGCTGAAATCAAGAGTTGGATGCTAAACCAACTGAGCCACCCAGGTGCCCCTGGACCCAGCCTCTCTCTCCCTCTCTTTTTGTTTTAAGATTTTATTTATTTGACAGAGAGAGCACAAGCAGGGGGAGCGGCAGGCAGTGGGAGAGGGAGAAGCGGGCTCCCCCCCGCTGAGCAGGGAGCCCGATGCAGAGCTCAATCCCAGGACCGTGAGATCATGACCTGAGCCGAAGGCAGATGCTTAACGACTGAGCCACCCAGGCACCCTCTCTCTCTCTCTCTCTTTTTAAAAGATTTAATTTATTTATTAGAGAGAATGAGAGAGAGCATGAGATGGGGGAGGGTCAGAGGGAGAAGCAGACTCCCCAATGTGGGCTCAATCCTGGGACTCTGGGATCATGACCTAAGCTGAAGGAAGACACTTAACCGACTGAGCCTCCCAGGTGCCCGGACCCAGACTCTCTTAAGAAGGGTCTTTTTGGGTCCTTCAGTTTGGACCCTGACCCAGCCCCCCTCACCCTCTCCTAACCCTGCCCCTTTGTTATAAAGACACCACCTGATAAGAAAGGTGTCCTGTGGAAGTATAGTTGGAAAACATGTTCAAATCTCAATCATGTAGAAGTACCTGGAGGGAAACCTCTTTGGAACTATTGACTAATTTATGAAGGAAATTTTTTTCTCTAGGTAAAGGCATTTGCTCAGCCATGGCTAAAAAAAGACTTGCTTATTTCTGGGTTAGCCGACGTAGATGGAAATGCTGACTGCTAGCTGTGTAACTACGGTGAGGCCCAATAGTTTCTTTTCTGACAATTAACCACCTAATGCTGGTGCTGAATGTTGATGCTGCTGGTATAGGGACCAGATTTTGAGAACCACTGTTGTGGGTTAATGTATAAAGAACAACAGGTCAAGGCCATTTGGCCTTAGTAGAAGAAACATAACTATCATAATTTCAAAATAGTGATGAGCATAAAGGATACTTTGAGAAATGTGAAACAAATGTAATGTGATATGAAAATCTTTATTGTCGACATTGTATTAATCATATTATTGTGGTTTCTTGCCTAGGTTAAATAATTGAAGGACATGTTCAAATTAAGTTAAAGGTAAGTGAAAATAAAGGCATAGGTCTTTTCCCTGTTCATATGCCCAGACCTCTCTGAATTCCATATCCTGACTGCTCTTGCTTCATAATGCCCTGAGTACTTTGTTTAGTGGGCAAATTTGTTACAAGCCAGTTATTAAGTGCATATTATGTGCTCTTCTCTCTACACCCATTAGAATGTATCCTATCACTTGTGGTACAAAGTAGGTATTGTTATCCACACCTTACAGATAAGAAAACTGAGGGATCA